AAGTTCATGCAAAAATTTGTCTTGAAGTCTTGATGACTTCTAAAAGCTAATGAACTCTACTTGGCAGACCCGTCAGTAGGCTCTGCAAGGATCTATGAATGGTACGTTCATGGTACGTTCAGAGTTGTGTTCCGGGAAAGTCCCTGACCAGGTGGGTGGTGGTGATTATCAGGAGGGGTACTTGAGTTCACTGAGAGGTTTGTTGCATAGTCCCCTTGAGACGTGATGACAGACACCAAGGGTGACCTGGAAAGTGTTGGATGTCCACAGAGTTGTGAAGGTAGAGTAAGAATTGCGTAGGTGATTGAATGCATGTCATGAAGTTAAGAGAGGGAATGTAGAAGGAGGCCAAGGTTGTACCCTTAACAGAAAAGAACTCATCTTTGTATCTGCTCCCCCCAAAGCTTTTTTAACTACATTCGTCTCCTTTTCAGATGGAGAGATAGGAACCTCAGGATGGCCCAACATGGCCTAGATTGTAATATTTTCCATTTGTGGGAGAAATATTGGAAAAGAATTCCTGAATTTAATGTTAATCTAATGCAGTTAATGATTTCTGATAATTGTGATCTTAATAGTCCAAAATTAGGCTTAATAATTGATCAAATGAGAGGTGATACATGAAATGGCACTGAGTCAGGAATGGTGGGCCACTGGCAGAGGGAAAAGTATCATTTTTTAAAAAAATACTTATTTATTTGGAAGAGTTCCAGAGAGAGAGAGAGAGAGAGAGAGAGAGAGAGAGAGAGAGAGATTTCATTTCTTGGTTTGCTTCCCAGATGGCTGCAATGGCCATTGCTGGCCAGGAGCCAGGAGTTTCATCCAGGTCTTGCATATGGGTGGTAGGAACCCAAATACTTGGACTATCTTTTGCTACTTTTCTCAGGCCATTAACATGAACAGTATGGGGAAAAGATGTAGCAGTCAAAACTCAGACTGGTACCTATATAGGATGTTGGCATTGCAGTTTTACAACAGACCCAGAAAGGAAATTCTGATTAAAAGCAAACTATCCATCAAACCATGAGCAGAAAGAGGTGGATATCTCTAAAAGAGGTAGATATCCTCTTTGTTAATTTATTTTTTTTAAAGATTTATTTTCATTATTTTTTTATTGGAAAGGCGATACAGAGAGGAAGATCTTCCGTCCGATGATTCACTCCCCAAGTGAGCGCAATGGCCGATGCTATGCCGATCCGAAGCCAGGAGCCTCTTCCGGGTCTCCCACGCGGGTGCAGGGTCCCAAAGCTTTGGGCCGTCCTCGACTGCCTTCCCGGGCCACGGGCAGGGAGCTGGAAGGGAAGCGGGGCTGCCGGGATTAGAACTGGCGCCCATATGGGATCCCGGGCGTGCTAGGCGAGGACCTTTAACCACTTGCGCCACCGTGCCGGGCCCCTCTTTGTTATTTTAAAAAGATTTATCTATTTATCCAAAAGGAAGAGAATCTTCCATCCACTAATTGATTCCAAATGGCTGTAATAATGAAGAAGACTGGGACAGGCTGAAGCCAGGAACCTGGAATTCTATCCAGGTCTCTGGTGTGGGTGCAGGGGCCAAAGGACTTGGAGCATCTTTTGCTGCTTTCTCAGATATATTTTCTTTTTTTTTTTTTTAAGATTTATTTTTATTATGTTTTTATTGGAAAGGCGGATATACAGAGAGGAGAGACAGAGAGGAAGATCTTCCGTCCGATGATTCACTCCCCAAGTGACCGCAACGGCCGATGCTATGCCGATCCGCGCGGGTGCAGGGTCCCAAAGCTTTGGGCCATCCTTGACTGCTCTTCCAGGCCACAGGCAGGGAGCTGGAAGGGAAGCGGGGCTGCCAGGATAGAACCGACGCCCATATGGGATCCCGGGCATGAAAGATGAGGACCTTAACCACTTGCGCCACCGCGCCGGGCCCTCTCAGGTATATTTTCCAGGAGCTGCATTAGAAGCCAGTACTTGAACTGGGGTCCACCTGGGCTGTTGGCATTGCAGGCAGTGGCTTAAACTGCAGTGCTGCAATGCTGACCCCATTTCCTTGCCTATGGAATGCTGTCCCAGTAACTCAAATTACTCAAGTTCCAAATCTAGGCATTAACCTTCTGCTCATTTCCTACATTGAATTTGTCAGTGAAGCCTACCAACTTTGTTTCTAAATACACTCCCAACTCTGTGCTCATCTTCTTGTTGCCTGTTACCACGATAGACCAAGGCATCATTCATTCTAGACATAAAAGTAATCCATCCTGGACATAGAAGTAATCTCCCACCTGGTTTCTTTTTTTCTGCATCTCCTCCACAAAATTTACACTCCACAACGCACTCCACTGATTTGAGAGCCATCTTTAAAAATTTATTTTTATTTCTTTGGGTGACACACACATACACACAAATTGAGAGAGAGAGAGAGAGAGAGAGAGAGAGAGAGAGAGAGAGAGAGAGAACTGACAGCTTTTATCTTCTGTATGCCAATTACCTGAAAAGACTAGGGCCAGACCAAATGGAAACCAGGAGACTGGAACACAGTCCTGGTCTCCTATACAAGTGTCAGGACAAAATTGCTTGAATCATCACCCTTTGCCTTCTAGAATGTACATGAGACAGAATCTGGAGGGAGAAAATGGAACTGGCATTGAACCTTAATAGATTGCACCTTAATAGATGTCTCAATTGCCGGGTTAAATAGCAGAGAACAATCATTAAGAGCATGGTAGATCCTGTCACTTCCCTGCTGAAGACTCTTCAGTAGCTTCCTATCCCACTTGGAATAATAGCTGCTCTCCCTCTCCTGGCTTCCTCATATCCCATATCCCAGGCCCTGTTGACCTTCCAGTTCTGTCTCACACCATTCTCCTCCTTTCCCACCATGGTCCAGCCACCATGATCTTTCTGCTTCTTGACCAAGCTTGCCTCTTTAGCTTGGTGTCCTGACACTGTTAGAATGCTTGCCCTTTAGTCTCTGCTTGGGTGTCTTCTTTTACTGTTGAGATTTCAACTTAAAGGTCACTTCCATGGAGGGATCCTCTCTGACAATCTGATGGCTCTGTCACACCCTGTGTATCTTATTCTCTTTATAGCACCTATCTCTCTGGTATTCCTTTGTGTTTTTGGCTATTTAGTTATGTCCCTGTCTTTGAGTGGAAACTTCTGGAGAATAAACATCCTGTCTGTTCTTCACAGCTAAATCCCCAGTGTCTACTGTTTAATGTGCTGGGTTAATATCTGTTGAACAAAATGAATGGAGGCATGAGTATCCTTGTCTCCTCCTCATCATTCTGGAATTTCCCAGGACTTCAGGGATCTACCTTCCTCTGATTTATCATTTGGCCCCAATACATGAGATGGGATTGGTACAGTCAGGACAGTTTCTTGGAGTAATTGTCTTTTGGAAAATTTTTTGTTTCATATGTGGATCCTTTCAGGGACATTGGACAGATAACTACAAGCCTCCCCTACCCTCTACTTAGAACATAATCATTCTGCAGATAGTTTCTGACCTTGTTTGAAAGGGAGAGAAAAGTAGAGAGAAACAGAGATGTCTTTTTATCAGTTGATTCAGTCTCCAAATATCTACAACAGCCAGGACTGAGCCAGGATGAAGCTAGAAGCTGGGATCTCAGTCTGAGTCTTTCACCTGGGTGGTAGGGACCCAGGCATTTCAGTTATCACCTGCCACCTCTCAAGGTATGCATTAGCAGGAAGCTATAATGGAGGACTAGGACTCAAATATTTGAGATATGGGCTTGGGACATCCCAAACGGGATCTTAACTGCTATGCCAGAATCTCCTTAAAGGTTTTTGTTTTTGATGGTGTAAAAGTATACTCATACAATCAATTTTTTCACTTTCAGTGTAGTATTCAGTAAACCACAGGAGATAGTCAACACTTCACTATTAAATATCTTTGTGTTAGTTGCCCCCCCCACCAAGTTGTAGACTAAGTTAGCTATCCTAATTGTAATATGCTGCAGGTAGGTTAAATTAGCTATGATGTTTGGTAGGATAGGTGTAGCAAACACATTTTTGACCTAGGGTATTTTCAACTTAGGGTGGGTAGAGGAGTTTGTTTGGCTGTTATCAAGTGCTGCTGTAGCTTCTCCTCCTGGGTTTAGAAGGACTCTAGCTAGAGCTGTCTGGAGTTCTTGTGGGCCTCAAGGCAACTGAACTGATGACACAGTAGTAAGGGTAGGATAAGATTCCTCTCTTGTCTTGCCTATCATTTTCTTTTCTGTATGTCTCCCATTTACAATCTCATTTTCTCTTTCCCTTTCAGATTTCCACTTTTGAATATTTAATGTATGCCATTTCAATCTGTCTTTTAATCTATATCTTTAGACATTAGTGTGTCTGTGAAAAAAAATGCAATCCTTGGTGTATGTGTCTGGGTAATTTTTGGAAACTTTGTAAAAAATTTTTAATTCTGTGGATTTAGAAGGTTATTATTAATATCATTAATGGAATATCTTATTCCTTTGGAATGCGTGAAGTCATATAATGTAAGAGCTGGTCTTATGGGCAGGCTGGGAATCATGGTCTCTTAAACCCTTCCTGATGTGACAAGGTGGCTGGGACCCAGGGGCCTCCTCCTCAATAATTGCTTTCTGTTCGATCATTCCTGTGTTTACTGAGCGCTGGTACTGGACAAGGTCCCCAGAGATGAATGGCACAGAGTTGAGTGAGTTGATGTCCGACAGGAGCCTTTACTGGAGTCCTAGCAGACTGTACATTTCCCTATGCTATCAGGCATTGGACTCACAAAAGATTCACAAATGATCTGATTTGAGAATCCATTCCATCGCTCCTTCCTCTGTTTGCTCTTTGTCATCTTAAGAATTTCTCAAATACTCACATCTGTCTTGTGTTCCAGCGATTTTGGCAGTATGGTCAAGTTCCCATCCCACCTCTACTCTTTTCTTTGTCCTTTTGATAGACCTGTTTCTTTGGTCCTTGGCCCACGCTGAGTGTCTTGGTCACACAGAGTTCTGAGCCAACCATATCTTTTTGTATTTCCAGATTGGAGCCTCTCTCTTTGCCAGCAACATTGGAAGTGGCCACTTTGTGGGACTGGCTGGGACAGGAGCCGCATCTGGTATTGCCACTGGAGGCTTTGAGTGGAATGTGAGTAATATCAGAGCCTCTGTATATCAGTCCAGTCCACTTGATGCTTGTGGTGTGTGTGTGTGTGTGTGTGTGTGTGTGTGTGTGTGTGTGTGAACCCCAGAACAAAGATGCAGGAAAGGCATGACGCAGGTGCAGCCTGCTCCTGCTCCCCTTTCTTGAGGAAACCACGGATACGATAACAATCGTTTCCTCCTCTCTTTCTGCTTGGAATTAAAAAGCCGAGGAGGATTCCAGCACTCTTCCAGTCACATTAGGGGTTTGGGAATGTTTACCCACCAGATTTCTGTTATTATTCTGGCAACTCTTTAGGTGGTGTTCAACCCCTTACGATCTGGGGGAGAAGCAAGGGAGAGCTCAATGCTTGGGCTTGGGTCTAGGGCTGTGATGGTTAATGGGCTGCAGTCTCCCCGCCAGCTGTATCTGTGAGGCTTTCCTGTGGCAACCTGGGATGTTGTCCTCAGATTCAAAAAGTACTGAGTGATTTCTGTGTAGCAGCTGCAGGGAGTGTGTGTGTGGGGGGGTCCCTTCAGATGAAAGAGACAACTAACGAATGCTCTTGATTTGAATCTTATCCCTATTTTGGTTTCAGGCCCTGATTATGGTGATTGTGCTGGGCTGGGTGTTTGTCCCCATCTACATCAAGGCTGGGGTAAGTATGTGCTCTGATTTCCCTTCCTAGATGGAAAATACACATGTGGGCGTGGTCCCCCTTAAAGCCAAAGGGGGCCCTAACGGGACAAATGGCTAAGAAAAAAAAACCCTGGATTGGCTTTTGCCAATCAGGTTGTGAAATTTCTGACTACCCACAGGGCATTAACCAGACCCATTGGGCTTGAGTTCTTATGGCTCATTTCAGTTCAGGTTTGTAATTCTTTCCTAAAAAGAATCCTGAGTAACCTCACTATATTCAGCTCCCCCCGCCCCCAAGCATTCTATTCCTTCCCTCTGGATTTGTGCTTCCATTGTACTTCCATGCACTTGACTCTTGATGTAGTACTAGACTCTAGTCACTGTCTTAAGGAAGAAGGCAGTTTGAACAAAAACAGAACAAAACAAAACAAAACAAAAAATCCTGGATCTGCACATTCATTTCCATGTGGCATACAACTGTCAGGCAAGTGGCACACAACTACCAAGTTCTCACTCAGTCTCCTGCCTTTGTCTCTCTACACAAAGGGTGGCTTTAGGATCATCTGTTCAGTGAGACAGAATGAGCTCCTTCCATGGCTAAGTCTAATGTTAGGGACTGACAGGAAGACAGAGAAGCATGGAGCAGATGTTGTGGCTTGTAGGAGGCTCACAGATGGCTTCTCACACCTGTCCAGCCCCATGGTACATCAGGCCCTGGGTGGAGGAGGCAAGCTAGGAAGTGTGATTGGAGCTGGTGGCAAAGAACTGAGAGGTCTTATGGGCAGGCTGGCACTGCCACAAGCTTTGGCACTACCTGTGTGCAGAGCATGTCAAAGTGTGCATACAAGCTGGCTACCATGTTTGAAGTGTTGGACGAATGCCATCATTGTTTAAATGTCTTGTTTGCAGTAGGTACACTGTGGTGGAATCCCTGCCCCCTCATCTCTGTCTGTCTGTCTGCCTGTCTCTATTCCTATCTTAATCTCTGTATCTATACTAGGATACGTCAGCAGAATGTGTGGAAAATGGAATTAAAAGGTAAGTTTATTTTTGTGCAAAAAATAAGAAATTTACACATGAGGAATCTTCAAAAAGTTCTTGGAAATGAATATTATTAAAAAACCTATGCATGGATTTCAAAAAAATTTTTGCACCCAAATGAACATCTTTTAATTCTACTTTTCTGTGACATTTTAAAGTGCCCTTATCCATCCTGTCCACCACAAGGGCTAGACTTTATCTCACAGCTTGTGTCCAGTAGTGTGTTCATTCAAAAATAGCCACTCATTGAGCACTTTCTATGTGCTGGGACAGTACTGGTCTACTCTCCTACAGTATAGACTGCAAGAAGCAAAATGACTGGGGGTCAGAGGCCATCTGGCCACCTAGTATACGTCCCAGGCCCATGAAAGTTATGAATCCTTAACTGTATTTCTGTGGCTCTGACATCAGCATGGGCCACTAGGCCAACAGTGACCTTCTTTGTATCCCACCCAGGTGGTGACAATGCCAGAGTATCTGCAGAAGCGGTTTGGAGGCAAGCGGATCCAGGTCTACCTTTCCGTCCTGTCCCTGTTGCTCTATATTTTTACCAAGATCTCGGTGAGTCCACTGCCCCAGGGGCTGGGTGTTGGGGTCCTTGAAGGCTGTCTACTATAATCCCCAGTATGTACTGCTCCACTTTATGGCAGTTCTATGCATTTCTACTAACTTGGTCCATTAAATCTTTCTGCTCCTTGGGATAAAGCCTTGTTTCATGAACCAAGGAGCTAATAGAGTTCAGTAGAACTCTATGTCTTCCATGATGCTGCCAGTTGCAAACAAATGGGGTTAAGAATGTTCTAAAGGAGAGAAAGATTGAGAGAGAGAGAGCGAGAGAGAGAATGAGAGAGAGCCCTATCTTTCAGCCACTGGTTCACTCCCCAGATGGTCACAACAGCCAGCCAAGATTGGACCATGTTGATTGGGTCAGGAGCTTTGTCTGCCTCTCGCACGTGGGTGTCAGGAACCCAAGTGTGTGAGCCATCTCCCACTGCTTTCTCACTTTCTCCAGACTGTCAGCAAGGAGCTGGGTCAGAAATAGAGCAGCCAGGACACAAACTGGTGCCCCAATGAGATGCCAACATCACTGGCAGCAGCTTTATCTGTTATGCTACAACACTATTCTTAGTCGAAGATTAAGAAGGAGCTGATAGAAAATCCAGCAATCTCACTACTAGGCAAATACACAAAGGAAATAAAATCAGTATACTAAAAAAAAAAAAATCTGCACTTTCCCGTTTATTGCAGTGCCTTTCACAATAGCCATACATAGAATTACATAGAATTAATGCAAATGCCAATCTGTAGATGAGTGGATCAAGAATATATGGTATATAAACACACTGCAATACTCATACATTGTGCAAAAGAAGGGAATCCTGTCATTTGTGACAACATGAAGAACCTGAAGGATGTTACATTAGAGTAAAATAGGCTAGACACAGAAAGATAAATATTGCACTATCTCATACATAAGTGGAATTAAAAAAATTGAATCTATGGAAGTAGAGAAGAATAGTAATTACCAGCTTGCAAGGAGACGCTGGTCAAAGAACAATTTTAGTTAAACAGGAGGAATAATTTTATGTGACTATAATTAATAACAATGGGTTGTATTTTGAAAATCACTAGGACAGATTTTAAGTGCTTTCAACCATAAAAAAAGGATGTTAATTAGTTTCAATGAGCCATTCCGCAATGGAGAGATATTTTGAAATGCTGTGTTGCAGATGACAAATATATACAATTTTTGTCAACCCAAAAAAGGGGAGTTGGTTAGGATAACTAAGACAGTGTCTTTGCCTTAGAGGCAAGCTGTTGAAGAAGCTCTTGTTTTCCCATGACCAGGTCTTGCCCCTAAGTCTTTCCAGAACTCAGTGAAAATGTGGCTCTTATCAGTAAAGTTGCTAGCCCCTTTCTTTGGAATTGGGACCAAAATCCAGAAGTAACTCTCTCTGCTTGTATAGCTTTGTCCCTGCACTTGACTCACACACCAGTGCTTTCTCCACAAGTGGGATGTCTATGCCTTCTTTTGGATTAGTTTTTAGCTATGCTGGGATGGAAATTCTGTGATCTTTCTTTTAATCTTTCACCATTAGGTGTGGCCTGAGAGGTGCTGGGAAGAGCACTGAGCTCAGAAGAGAAAAAAAGCAATATATGCATGTGAATGGGAGGTCATACTGGCTTGAGCAGGAGGTTGGTGGGGTAACTGCTCCAGGCATCAGCTTGTAACGTGGCACCTGTCTCAGGAGCACGTATAGAGAAGGTCACTGGGCTTTGCTTTCTCAGAGGCAAGCATTCGCCAGGTCCACAGTTCAAGCCGGTGAAAGTCTGTCAATGGTGGTTGCCATGGAAAGGACACTCTTTGCCCTCCGAGCTGGCGTAGGGGTAGTCATATAAAAACCCAGTGCCAGTCTCTCTCCCTGCCTTCCCTATCACCTCACCTACTTTTAAGGTTACTGATTAAACCTCCTTGGACTTGGGAGTCCCCAGGTAGCCCAGCGGCAGCCTTGTTCGGCTAAGATCCCGATGGGGCACATTCCCCAGCAGTCTGATTTTTCTAGATTTTTGTTTGTGTATCATACATGGTGTAGGCTACTACTTCCTCTCTGCATGATTTCTCAGAATCCTCCCTGGACTAGTGCCATAGCTGCTCTGCTCAGAGTCCAAGGCTCAAGACCCATTGAAGGCAGCTGCTCTTGATTTATTGTCAGTCTCTTCTTCAATCTCCAATAGGAGCTTTGTTTTAATACTATGTCCAGTCCTCACAATAATTCTGTATGTATAGAGGTTTTTAAGTGTCAGAAATGAGTTACTACATGGGAAAGCCAGAATGGTAGCTGGATATCTCTAGTCCCAAAGTTTGTTTCCCTCTTTATTCTGCACCTTGCTTGGATGGGATAAAGATTTAGACTAACGGAATGGGATCATCCCATGTCCCCAGTTCTCATTTGATGCGTGCATAGACCGAGATTCTGAGGAGAAAGACAATTTTGTGGGTTTCATTGTGAGAAGCAGGTGTCCTGATGCTGAATTTGGATTTTTTGACCTGGTGTCTCTTGCCTTCTGAGTCTTTCATCCATTTGAAGTTTAACCAGGACAGAGTAGGTTAGCATTCCAGGTCCTGGGAAAAAATTAAGAGTGCCAGTTAAGTGAACCTCATGAGATAAATGAATTGCAGAGAGTAGAGAACATCTGGTGCACATCAGGTGTGTGAGGGGGAATGAAGGAGGGACATTTGTGTAAAGGGACAGCACAGAGAGAAGCTGACAGGAAAGGGACAGCACAGAGAGAAGCTGACAGGAAAGACTGTCTCCATCCATTTAACTGACTCTAGCTCCACCAAATGTCCTGAGGATGAAGGTCTTAAAATAATTCCACTGGTATCAGCTGTACCTACTGGGAATTCATAGCACATTATGGAGGGGTACAATGCTCACAGGCTAGAAAAAAGGATGTGAATAAGAAAGGGTGGTTGTGAGACATTAACATTCCCCCCCAACACACACCAAAATGATTCAATTCCATTGTGTGTGTGATGTGGGGAGACATGAATGGCTTGTCATGGGTGGGAAGACAGGTGTGATGGCCTTGTGAGATATGCAGCTGGACAGGAAGCAAAGAACCTACCAGGAAGGCCAGGAGGGATGGAGGGATCCAGTAGGTGTGTGGTTGATGAGAGAGAGAAAGTACAGGACTCTGCAGATGCAAGAGCCCGAGTGTGGTCAGGGCATTGGGCATGGAGCCTTGCCTAAGTTCCATCTTGCTGTTGGAACTGTAGAATGGATTGTCGCTGCATGGGGACAACCCCATGAGTTCTGTTGGTCACCTGTGCACTATGCATTATCAAATATTGAGAAGCATTTTGTTCTGTTAAGAATTTCCTGGTCCATCGTGTATCTCATTCAACAGTACACAATCACTTGAGATAAAGCCTTTTTATGAATTCCACGTGCTCACTGGATGTCTCTGCTTGTGTTTCTGGGACTGTGTTATCACAGATCACCCCTGCAAATGCTTTTCATAGCAACTTCACTGTCCCTTTCTTATCCTTGGGTGAAATCAATGAGTGCTGGCTTGCATTTAATGTTTGAACGTTTGTTAGCTGGACTGTTCGCTCTCCCAGGAGCAGAGAAATTAAAGTCAGGGTACTTTTCCACCTGAAACCTCATTGGTTGGCAATGAAACACACATAGAAAAATGAAACACACACATAGGGAAAAAAAAAATCACAGGATCTCAAAACACCAGAGCTGATGCCAAGTAACCTGCCCAAGATTCACCATCAGCGACCATTACTTCCAGAATTCTCCAGCTGGAGTCTGTACTTTGAGTGGTTTCCATGAATCCTATGGACATTGATCAACCGAATCTTCAGGATAATGACAAAGTCAATGGGTTGAATCCCACTCACAGTCTGTATGTTCCATTCTGTTGGAACAGTCAAGCCTACTTGTTTATGTTGGATATGCCAGGATGTGAAAGAGCTTGCAGTGTGGTCTGCAGAGCCTGAACCATTTCCTATCTGATTCATTAGAGAAAACCTTTGCCAACCCCTGGTCTAGAGGATCATGCTTTTTCTGTCTTAAGTTTGTTGTTTTCTGCTTGGCAGCATCAGAGAAGTTGCGTTCCCTCCCACCCTCTGTCCCTCTTTCCCTCTCTCCTTTCCTTATTCTCTTGCTTCCTTCCTTTTCCCTCTATCCTTCCCCTCTTTTTGCTCCCTTTTTCCTCTCCTCCTAACAGCAGCTTACAGAAGGATCAGTCTGTAGTAACCAGTGAAACAAATGGTCTCTTAGGATGACAGAGTGGTTCTTTTATATAAAATTTAGTAGTATATTTCTTACCTAGTCCCTCTTTACATTTTTGAAAAAAGATTCATTATTTATTTGAAAGGCAGAGTAAGAGAAAGAGAGATATCTTCCATCCCTTGGCCCACTCTCCAAATGGCCACAATAACTGGGGCAGGTCTAAGCTGAAGTCCAGATCCATCTGTATCCTCCACATGAGGGGTGGCAGATCCCCACTTGGGCCATCATTTGGTGTTTTCCCAGATCTATCAGCAGGAAACTGGATCAGAAGTGGAGCAGCAAGGACTCAAACCAGTGCTCACATGGGATTCTGGTATCATAAGCGGTGGATTAACTTGATGTGCCACATTGGTTCCCATTGTCCCTTTTAAAATAAATGAACAAAAAACAACACAATGTTCCAAACATATAGAGAAGCCTTTATCACCACCACTCGGGCTTTACAGATCATTTTCCTTTTTTTAAAAAAAAATTAAAACATTACAGATGCGACAAAAACTTATATGTTCTCCCTCTTCGTCCTAGTGTCCTCCTTCCTACAGGTACATGTTGTCTGTTGAATACATGTTGGATGGATTCATCTTGTCCATGTATAATTTGAGAGACAGGACCTGTCACCTCTGATTTATCCCTTCAATACCCAGGAGACAAGACCTCAATCCAGGTCTGCCATGTTTGTTGGCAGAATTTCAGCTGTCTGAGTATCACATGCTTATTAGCAGGTAGCTGGATCAGAAGCAGAGCCAGGATGCT